TTAACACAGGAAGGTTTAATTAGGGGAGAATTTTGGCTTTTTGTTCTTTAATTTTTCATCAACCTTTTGTCTCTGGCTGGAATTTGACTTAAATTTTTCTAAAGATTTACACCTAACCAAATTTCTAGACATTATTGATAGCAAAATATGTTTCATTTGATTGCATGTTTAAAATGCAACCATACCTGTAGATTAATGAGTAAAGGCAACTTGAAATGATACCACTTTATTTATGTACATACCTTGCTTTTTAACAATTACCTTCTATGATAAACAATCCAATCAAAAATACAGCAGTCTATGTACTGAAAAAAGATACAACATCTTTCTCAATCATCTTTAACTCCTGTAATCTACTGATAATAATTAATCCAATTATATCTATCAATATAATATACAGTCAACTTTTTAATTTTTGTTTTGACACAAACTTTCAATAACTGATGTGTGTAATTGATATATAGACATACTCTTGGTGGGGATATCAGATCAAGGGTGCCCATTGGCTTGTGCCTGTATTATACATGCCAAGTTGGGAAAATGTGGATAAGTATGTAGTGTCTTGATAATATGAATGGCTTATGTTGGGAGATTGGAAACCAAGTGTGTGATGATACTGTTTGTCATCTTCGGCATGATGGGCAGACTGACTGAGCTGAAAAATGAAGGTTACTCAAATATTGCTGTGGGGTGGGGAAATAAAAAGTAAAGTCATAACTTTGAAGGCAAAGTTTAAATGTACTTCACCAAGTCGTATGATTCTTGCCTTGCTTGAGCTTCTCGCCTGCATCACTTGTTTATGCAGGATTTTTTTAGCCCACACCTGTTTCCCATTCAGAAGATGCATACCATCAAGAGCTTATTAGGAGTTTTAGTATTTTCACTACTTTTGAACTTACCAGCAAGTAATGTTTGTTCTCTTGCCTTACCTCACTCATATAATTTTCATTGATGTCATATACTTCTACTCGTTCCTTTTTCCCCTACTGAGTGGCCAAACATAGGCAAGTTGGGTTTTACTGATCTTCTTAATGTTTCTTTCTGTTTGGTTAAATCACTTGTTAGATATACATGACTTTTTGCGTTTAATGCAAAAGTTATTACTTAGATAGTTTAAGTACAGCCTGAGTGTTAAATTTAGTTATTTTTAGAAGTGATAGTTTATCGCAGATTTGCTTACATAACTCTACATGAAACATAAGTTGTTGTATAATTGTGTCATGTTACTAAAAACTTCTTAAGGTTTTCTCATTTTAATTGTGTCTTGTTGCATCATAACATCTCATAGTGTATGGAACATTCTAGGCCTCTGACAGGCTTATAAATATGTAGTTTAAATTAATTAGTTAGTTGGATAGATAACCAATATATATATATATATATAAAGAGAGAGAGAGAGAGACTGTGTGATTGTGAGTTTAGTTATAAAAAGCGTATAGTGGCAATTTTCTAAGGTGAAATTATTACAGATTGTATTGTAGTAACAGGGAATAGAAAAATATATTTTCTTGTCAATGGGTTCTAAAGTATCTGAACCAGCCTGTGTGGACTCTTGATGAAAAGAGATGATTACTTAAAGCTCTGGATACAACTGTGGTAATTAACTGTGTAACGAACATTTGTATATACATTTAAAACAAGTGCATTGTGTGCTGTCCATTTATTGTTGAAATTTATTGCCAACAAGTCACAGACACCTACTGTAAAGAATCACAGCCCTATAAAAACCTGACAATTCATAAATAAATATATATATAAGTAACCTTAAATTTTCACAACCCAAAATACCTAGTGAAGAAATATTCATTGTAACCATTAATGTGAATTTAAGTCCTAAATAACAGAAGTGGCAGCTTAATGTTTTGATACAGTAGCTTTTATTTACTTATTGCAGCACTTGGAACTGTACAACACATATTCAGCCTTATGGCTGCACTTTTTTAACATGCAATTCTTTTTTTGTGCATATTTGGTGAATCTTTGGCCTTGAATATAATACTTCTGTGAGTTGGCTCCATGCAATGTAATTTTCATAGATGGTACATCTTCAATTGCAACCAATTGCTTATTTCATTTGTTGAGCATAGAGATGAGATGATGACACTCTTTGTGCCAATTTTAGTGAAATTATTTTCTATTACTTCCTTGAAAATTCAAAGTATCATTCAAAAACCATCTTTGCTCCTGTCAACATGTGGAACTGAAATCTTCATTTCTTCCAACATGAGGGAAGGCTTAGTCAATCATCAGTTTTATTTGTTTAGTCTGTTATTGTCCTCCAATCCTGACTTTTTCTTTATTTCCACTCATAATTGTTTATCCCACAATTTTGAAATAAAATTCTTAGTTTAAATCCCTCTGCATAAGCATGACAAGTGTATGTGCATTGATGCATTCTTGATCACAAACACAGCAATTAAAAACAAATCTGGCTGGTAGCTTGAACATAATGGCACTTCTACATTGTGTGGCTGAAACCTTTCATTGCTGAGTCAGACACTACTGTACTATATTTACTCATAGAACAAGTATCACTGTCTTTACTTATCTCTTCCATTGTTGTAAATGGTCAACTAATGTTTGCCTTCCTGACACACTGAGTGTTTCAGAGTATGCTCAACAGGCAGAGGGCATACCTGGATATGGATGTATCAAGTGAATTTTAACATACAGCTGTGAAAAATATTTATTGCATCACTTAATTTTCTCAAGTTTCTTGGTTCCCATAATGTTTTAAGGGATTGTGCATTGTGGAAGTGTCAGAACTAGTTCAAAATGGTTTTGGACATTGTGTAGTATAAGTTGACTCATATTTCAATCCTTGAAACACATATCCATCTGTATTAAGAAACCAATCCTGACAAATGTATTACAGAAATGATCAACAAATACAAAATGTTTTCTGAATAAGAAAACCTGTAATTAAAGATAACTCCACTAATGTAAATGACAAAAAAGTAGTCACAAATATGTTTCTTGTTTTAAGATTTGGTTGTGCCCCTCTGACCGTGATAACTGCTTGACATCACTATGGCATAGAGTGCAAGAGATACTGAAAGCAGGTAGGAGTGAGTTCATGATTCCACAGACAGAATTGGGCTTTCTGGAGTTCAAAGTTGCTTCTCGGCTTCTTCTCTTGCACTTTGTTACCCTTACTTTCCAGCTATTTTGATAGGGTTGAGATCTAGGCTGTTGCTAAGCCAGCTCAGTGTTTTGATCCTCTCCCTTTGAAGATAGTCCTTCACCAGAAACAATGAAATAAAATCTAAGATGTCTCTTCAATACTGCATAGAGTGCATGATTATTATCAACCTTTTTAGCCCTGTGCCATGGAACAGTCATCCTGGAATGTGCATTGGTCAGCTCCACCGAAGTAATCCTGAATTAATGCAATTGTCAATACTGAAAGTGCCTTTCACAAAATGCCGACATTCCACAGCCTGGCCATAGATGCATCCCAATATCATCTGACCCTGTGGATGCTTCATAGTTGCATTCAAACATGCTGGATGAAACTCGTGTTCAAATCACCATTGTACAAAGTGCTTCCCATCAGACCAGTATAGGTTGAACTGAGAAGATTGCTTTGCTCCACATTGCTTCAGACCAGTCAGCATGCTCTTTTGCCCAATTGAGCTTCATTTTTCTCATTTTGTTGGTGAGGAGAGTTATTTTTTTCTTGGCTGTCTTTCTGGGAGACTGGCTGAAAACAGGCAGAACCAGTAACAGTGGCCCCTGAAGTTTCCTGCTATGTCTCTTTTGAGATCTGTGGACAACATTCGACAATTCTGCAGGCTCATGTGTTTCAGAACATGATCGTTAGTTGCTGTGGAAACTTTCTTCCTACCCCTTCCACTGCTCTGCACTGCCAGTCTTTCTATATATCTTGTTATGTCTCTGTGTTCGTTTGTTAATTTTCCGTAAAAATTCTTTCCGAAGAAACTTTAGTGATACAAGTACTTTCTTAAATAAAACTAGTTTATTCTTTCTCAATACAACTTTGCAATACACTTAATTTCCACAGTCACGCTATAACTCAAACACACGCTATAATTCACAACGAACAATTCACGCGCTTGACTCAATTGTTCGTCTTTATCTCTGTCCGCAATTCAATTCCATTGTTGCCGTCACTTCTTGGCGGTCTTATATACAAGAATACCGCACATCTAGTAAACACTCGAGCATTCAAAAACCTTCGAGGATATCATGACGTGTTACTAGCGTCACGTGACTTCCGCTGTTGTAACAATCTCTTCACCCTGTGGCTCACAGTAAGCTGGTTAATTTTAACTCTTCTAGCAACCTGCCTTGTCAAAAGTCCCTCTTTGCTCAAAAAGACAATGTTTTCTATGTGGAATTAGCTTGCAATCCTTGACCATGATAGCATCACATGCATGTTGTAGCATATAGGTTTCTAAACTGATTCTGAGTAAGAACCTCTATTTATAGTAAAAAAATGGCTGATGAAATAGTTAGACAGTGTTGCATCATCCATGAAACACATTTGCACATACATGCATTATGGCCTCAAAACAGATGATGATTCTAAAGAAAAGTGTGAAAAAAATTGGGTGATGCAATTTTCTCTCTCTCTGCTTACATTATTATTAACAAATACATTTATTAACATACAATAAAAATTGATTATAAATAAAACAATCTTGTAGTTCTTATTTTTCTTTATATAGGAGACTACAACACATAGGTTTGTAATATTTAAAGTTATTATTTAGAAAATGAGGTACTTACAAGTAATGAGAACATTAGACACCCATGTACATTACTTCAGTAACAAAAATCGCAGAAAACATTGGTTTTCAACACTTGTTTAAAATATATTTCATTCCCTCTTAATAAAAAAAGTAATGGTAATCTAAATTTGTTAGATAAGTTATAGACACATCCCAAATCGAGGAAAAAGCCAAATACATCAGGTTACATCTATACATGACCATTCATTTTGGAGAAATTCTGAGATATATGTAGTAGTGAAGAAATTTGGAAAAGTACATTAATCAGTGGTGGAATCCCAGAAAAGTACATATATTAACATTATTTTCTATTCTAAGCCTTCATTTACAAATAAATCGGTTATTTAAAATAATAAAATCCAGCTAAATACCTTAAGGTTCATTGGAATGTTTTATAAAAACATTATATTATTCAGACAGTCTCAACTTTTAGATTATGTTTAGACTTCATTTTCAATGTGTTTTTCATCCTTCTCTTTAATTCTTGCCACAGCAGGGTCTTTTCTTTTCGAGATCCCATCAGGACTCCTTGGTTTTCCATAGCTCTTCTAGCCAGGAAAGGCAATACTTCAAGCATAGGCCCATATGGAACACATTTATAAACAGCATAACCAGCTGAAGCTGAAGATTAAGAGTAGTAAAACTAATTTATTCATGCTTCACACAAATTTAATGTCATCTAAAACTGAAAAATTTACTTGATGTATAAATATCATTACAAATCAATATTTTTAGTATTTCACTGCTACTTAAATTGAAAAAGGTACATGTAGATAAAAATTTTGAATGCTTGCAATATAAGTTGTTTTTCTTAAAGCAAGTGGAATTGTGCAAAATGTTTGGGGTTTCTTTGATAGATTGTTTAAGCAGAATATTCATGATGAGTACACTGGAATGGGCAGCAACTGCAATTTTAGATTTCAATTTGAACTTGTTTAGGTACAGTTTTACTGAAATGACAGTATCAATTGCCACACAATATGCTAGATAAACAACATTTATTTACATACAATAATGTATTAACACAAGTATATTTTGTAATAAATCATTAATGCATCATAACTCACTATAACAATACCTACCTAATGGAAAGGAGATCTGATCACACATTCCATACAACTGTCCAAAATGAACCCCTCCATTGAGAGGATCAATGTTCATTTCTCTCATCCTGAAAGTATTTCAAACAGAAATCAGTTCAATGTTTTGTTAGTTGTTATCAAAATATATTTTTATGGGATAAAATTGTTGTTAATTCATTATAATCTTATGGTTTTATTATTGGTTTGAAAAGCTAATCATTTTGAGTCTATTCAAAAATTCCAAGAGAACACTAATTAGACTAATAGAATTCTCTATAAAGCTGATATTTTTCTGGTAGCTGAAATATTAATAAAACATGTTCTCATTAGGTTTTGTTCTTTTATCGTTTTTTTTTTGTTCAATCACATAATACAAGTTAGAGAACCATGAAGTCTGCTTAGTAACTTGGTCTTGATTATTGAAATAAAATAACAATTTTAATATACTTTTCAACAAATTTTAACCAACACTAAAGTAATTATTTGAGTTGTTGTTTTATAATCAATCTCTAATTTGAAAACTTGATATGTTCTAACAAGATATGAATTTTAATAAAAAAGACTAAGTAATAAATCTAAAACTTTTTAACAATTCACACTTATATAAAAAATATAGTTACAACAGGTTTTTGTATAAATGTCATGTTTGTAAAAATGTGTTCAAAATCGATAAACATTATATTATGTGAAAATATTTTTTCTTTTTTTTTAATTTCTGAGCTACCACTATACAATATGATAATCTTTTAATGTTATAAAACACATATGCTATAAATTGAAATAATTTGTAACTGGCTACACAATGTCTAAATAATTGATTATTTATAAACAAATGGTGAATTATAGCACTAATACCAAATATTATTATAAATTAGACAAGAAGGATATTTAACGATCAATTGATATAAAATAAATAATTTCTTAAGATTCACATCATCTCTTGCCTTTCTATAGCAAGTTGAACACTTTCCTCATTATGGGTGGCAACAATAATGTTACATCTCGGTCCCACTTGATTAATATGCTCCAAGAAATATCTAATCACCCTAGAGAAGAGAGAACATGAAACACTTGGAACACTATAGTCTGTATAATGATACCAGCAGAAATAGATATGAACATAATAATGTGCCATTTGGACTTTAGTTCATATAATGTGCAACACTCAAACTAAACTTTCTTTTATCATCTGTTTGTGAAGGTTTTGTTTATAAAGTTGTGCATTTTTTCTATTTCAAATGTAATCAATCAAACAAGCTCTAATTAGACTGCATAAATTTATAAGAAAGTTCAATCATAAATCTAGACTACAATATTATGATTGGAATGCTTACCTCATCATGGATTCATTTAGTTTTCAGACTTAACTGAAACTTTAGTTTAATACATTTTCTTATAGTAAATAACATGGACAGAAAAAAATTTGATATTATAATCCACATAGCATTATTTACACTACATGTGTACACCTCAGAAATTTATTAGCAGCAAAATTACCTGTTGTAATTCTGGTTTGTAAGTTCATAGCTATCCCAAATAGGGCTGGGATAACCCAGCTTAGTTGCCCGTAAACGTTCTTGGGTTAAGTATGCACCTCGTACTACTTTTGCACCAAAACATCCTCCCAAATTTTGTACAATTCCTAATTCAGATGCGGCAGTTTCAAAAGTTTTCTGAAAGAGATATTATATTGCTTAATTACCAATGAAATTTTATAGTGAAATAAATGAAAAATTTTTTAAACATATTTAAGTGCATCTACCAGAAGAAAACATTTAACCAGAAAACAACAAATTTTTGGTCAATTATGAGATAAAGCAGATACAGTGAGAATTGTTATTATTCACTAGAAAATAAAAACTATTCTTAGATAACTGACAGAGCTATGAATTTTCTCCACTGTGTAAAACTTACAAATACATCTTCTAAGTTGGAAACTGTATTTACAGCATTATGAATACTTTCCTGTTTACTATGATTTAGTTTCAGTACATATCAACCCTATAGCTGTTATAGAAATGTAATAAATCTTTGAACTTACCTAATTTTTAAAAGAAACAGTGCTGTTTTTTGAGATCAATTTTAATGCCTCATGCCAATATGCTGATATAATGCTACCCTCTCCTCCCTCCTAAAACAATCACCAGATTTGCACAAATTAGGTAAACCAATCCTGACTTTATGGTCACAGTGTAGCTACCCTAATGCTTAGGATGACCAAATAAAGTGGTTCTAGTAAAACAAATACATTTATTTAAAGATAAAAAATAGTCATTGTTTATTATCCATTACAAAATAAAGTAAACTGAAAAAATCAAAATAAATCTAGAGCCCATTCCGTCATTCAGTTTACTACTTGTCACTAATTTATACCAGTTTCGTGGAACCCCACCAGTAACCCTGGACAAGAGCAAATCAGAAGAATAAGATTAGGCTTCATATGGTGGTGGAATGTGCTGTTACGCCTCCGGTCGTTAGTTAATTTAGTTAACTGCTGTTGTCTCTCTTCTTGTTTCTTTTTTTTTCCTCCAACAACTGCTGTAGTCTTCCCTTCTTGTTTATTTTCTCGTTCTTCTTGTTTCTTTTGCTGTTCTTGTATTGCTGCCATCAAATCTGCTAAGCTGTAGTTTGATTTGCCGCTTCTCGTTTCCATTTTTTTTTGTGTCTCACTCTCTGACACCAATTTGTTACGCCTTCGGTCATTAGTTAATTTTCCGTATAATTTCTTTTCGAAGAAACTTTAGCGATACAAGTCCTTTCTTAAATGAAACTGGTTTATTCTTTCTAAATACAACTTTGCAATACACTTAATTTCCACGGTCACGCTATAAAAAAACGCTATAATTCACAACGAACGTCCCACGTGCTCGACTCAACAGTACTCTCTCTCTGTCCACAGTTCACTTACCACTACCTTGTTGCCGTCACGTCTTGACCGTCTTATATAAAAGAATACCGTACATCTAGTAACCTCCCAAGGATTCACAAAGCTTCGAGAATATGACGTGTTATTAGCGTCACGTGACCTCCGCTGTCGTAACAGTGCATTATATGTGTGGTATTTTGAGGATCTCTCTTACTCGCATGGTGGTCCTATATTATTTCAAGAATACACAGCATTGATGCTACTAATTTATTATCATGAATTATTCAGCTAATAAGCTGTTTAAAACATTAAAAAAATAAACTTGAAGCTAAATCTACCATTTTTCACTTAATTATACTGGTTTCAGAGAGTTCTGCATCATATGTAACCAATACAGCATACAAATAAACTGAAACTTTATTATTTTGACTTTATGGGTTAAATAAATTCAGTTACAAAAGCAACTATTTGAAAAAAAAAATCAAAGCAGTACGAGGTTAACTATGTAATCTTTGTGACTAGTGTAAGTTTATGAATAAAATTTCAATTAGTTGATGTTTACACCACAAATTAATGGTGAGCAAAAAAAATCAAAGTACATTATTTTTTGTTTCATTTCACTTCTCTGATCTAGAGCACCACTGAAAAGTAACACCACCATCTTTAACAATGATGCAGATACATTTCATGTTTTGTTTTTCAGTGCTTGTTTTGATGACCTTACACATAGTTCAAACCCTTTTCTTACTACATATTTCAAAACCACTTACTTTCAGATAGCACTGGTAGGTATTCCAGATCAGTGGAAATTGCTGATTGAATGCCACCATCATAGCCAGAGTAAGTAGACTAAGGCCAGGATTTATATAGGTATATTCAGCATCAACCAGAATTCTCACCGTTTTCTTGCTGGCACACTGTTAAGATAGTATGACAATACAAGTCATTTGGGATGTATAATGCTTAGAACAAGTCAGTTAATCAAATTACAAGTGGTGTATTTTTTCAGTCAAGTTATAAAATGGTTCCTTTTTACATTTTCTTGTAAAAGTAGGATCAATGAAGAAAATCATCCTCCTTGGAAGGATAATATGTAGTATAAAGCAATTACTGATAGTTGTCTTGAAAAGTAAAAATCTTTGGTTTCTGTGATAAAACACATGTATGACACAAGTAGTGCAAGTTCAAAATTATTCATAATAGCTAGTGAAAGAAATTGGATTCAATCATGTGTTAACATGAACTGTATCCATATCTGAATGCCTTTTCGATGAATGTTGTGGAAGACAATTTATTTGAAAATTTATAATCATTTAGTTAATTCTATCTCTGCTGGAATGTTCCCTCAATTAAGTAAACTTATATACAAAATACTAATTGCATTTCTTTAAAGTTAATCTAGGTGTAAAATTTACAAATTTTTAAATCCATTCAGATTTACATTAAATAATGTAATTAAAAGCAGTGGACATTGCTGAAATCGTCTACATTTGCAATAGTGTAATCGTCAGCCATACTTGATATTTAAATTGTCCTTTCTGTTTACAACAACGTAATAATTAGTTGTGTGCATTGTTAAAAATAATCAGCTATTTATGTAAATTACTCAAATCATAGTTTATACTAACATCTGATGAAACCATCATCTTAGTGTACAGTGAGATGATTTCAGTTTACATGTGTACTTTCTTGAAAGCACATCACACATTATTCTTATGTTTGTGCATTATGTAAAACTAGGAGCACTACATAACACACCACACTCACAAAAAGAATATCATCATCACATCACAAGTATTTTCAGGAAGCTGACACCTTGGGTTTACCTGAAACAAATAACATCAAAGTGAATATAACAAAGATGATTTTGATTTTTCCTTAAATCATTGAATTTCAAATTTGATTTGAATATGGAAAATGTTTATTTAAGTTAGTTTATGTTGTATTGTAAGTTCAGTAGCATATTATTTTAAAGAAATGTAAATTATGTTCCCTCATTTGATTACAAACCTGTCCAATTTCTTTCAGTCGTTGGACTGCCAGCATCAATGACTCTCTTTCTTTAGGTTCCAGCTGATCAAATGGTTGCATCTAAACAGACAAAATAGCAAGGAAAATTTTAGATTACTAATGTTTCATGAAAATTATTCAAAATTAGTCAATAAAAAATATAACAAAAATCTATTCTCATATTTTGCAATTTGATTTTGTGAAGCTATTCTAGAAATCGTGATCACATCTGGCAGCTCTTTCAAAATATTATTTTAATTAATTCTAATTAACCAAAAAAAGCTATTAATGTTAGTAATCTTGACAAAAGCATAAAATCGTCACAATTTTTTGTATATAAAAGTTGCTTTTAATTATTTTGTTATTCAAAAAGCATTTGTTCTATACAATTTTATTATTTTGAATATATAAGTAATAGATATTTTATTGAAGCATTGCCTATTATGGATGATTCAAGTAACTGTGAAATAACTGTTTGAAATTTAAAAGCTTTAGTTTACTAAACTTGTTACAATTTAATACTTGGAAGATAAAAAGAGCAAGAACAAAATAAATTCATAAGTTAATATCAGACTACTTCTCTGGAAATTTAAATGCATTTGTATTACATATATACTATATACTTTTTCATTTTCGTTAACATCAAGTATGCATATCACTGGAGTTAACACATGTAATTAGCAGTAGTTTTCTTTTTAAGTTATTTTTCTATCTCCAAGTTTGACCTTCTATTTGACAGATCTTGAAAACTAAAATATTTTTATCGAATATCTATTATTAAAACAACATGCATTAAACTTATTCTCAAAGAATGCAAAATGCATATTAACTGTATAAAACCAAAATGCAAAGTATGAAATTGCAATATTCACACATTTTGAACATGCCAGGAAAAACAAAAATATATAAAAGTTGCAATTTCAGATTTTGCATTTTATTTGTTTTTATACAGTTTAACATGCATGTTGTATTCTTTGATAATAAGTTCAAAGCATGTTTTTTAAGTTGAAGCTACCAACCTAATATTTATGATTAGAAGAAAGCTCACTTACTCTCATATCTTGTCCACTCATACTAGCTGCCACACTCTTCACTAGTATCTGTCGAGTAGCAATGCTACTGTGATTGTATATATCACTCAAACGAGCCTGCAGAGATACATAATGGTGTAAAAACAGTCACTGCTGAAAGCCTGGTAATACAATGCATAGCCATGTACTTTGTCAAACAACACATTCCTGTTATACTGATAAATGTTTGCTCTAATGTGAAAGTTGCATCATGTGATTTTCCAGTTTCAAATAAAAATATTTCTTATGAACTTTACGTCTTAGTCCGTTCTTTAAAAAGCTGTCATATCTAATTTATTTACCCAGTCTTTTCACTTTGTCAGTGACTATTGTAAGGATTTCATTTACACGTGAAATTGTCTAGCCAAAGTATTTTCATTTCAATTTGGCAACAAATTTATTTTCAAAAGTATTTCAATTACTTAATAGGTGAAAATTAGCAAAAAAAAACATTCATTAAAGAGAAAATATGTGTATTGTAAAATACTGCACAAAAGTTTTTGCAACCAGTTTTAGAACTGGACCTGGTATAAAATAACATTACATATGTTTAGGAAACCTTTGTATTTGTCAGTATTTCAAACCTTCCCTAACACAGACTGCATGTTATTAAACGTATTTGAACTGTATAGGTTCTAAGTATATAGAATAATGTCTTGCTTCAACACCCAACTCTTTGTATTAGCATCATAAATTACATTTAAGATCAAAGAACAGTTCTTGAAAAAATTAATAACTTTTTCTTACATACTCCATTTGTTTTCTTTTTAAATCAGAGCATTAAAAGATTCAGCGTATAAATTAAATGTATTGTTGCTGTAACACATGCAACTTATATCTAACATAATCAACTACAAGTAGTAAAATCTGAGTTGTTCTGTTTATTTTTACAAAGCAAAATAAATGCACAACTTACCAGTAAATAAATAGAAAACCCCAAGAATACAAATGTACCATTTCTATATGTCATATATTTTGATAAAGACCATGGAATAAGAGCAGCTATGACACAAATTAAAAGATCCTGGAAATAAACCATATTTTCTTGAGGTCACATAGAGGACAAAGGAAAATTGCTGAAAGTCAGTGAGAAATTCCCAAGTCAACTGTAATACAACGGGAACAGTACTTGATCGTTAGGTAGTTGTTGTTTGAAGTTAAGCACAAAGATACACAGTAGACCATCTGTGCTCTGCCCACCATGAGTATCGAAACCCAGTTTCTAGCATTGTAAGTCCGCAGACACACTGCTGTGCCATTGGGGGAAGGAAAAAGAAAAACATGCACAAAATGTTAGATAGTTGCAGTTTCAGTCTTTCAGTCATATCAGAAACCAACAGTTTCTGCACGGCCCAGGCACCCAAAACTAATATGAAGCACTCTTCTTGCGGTGAAGAGAAATATAGAAAATAACCCATGTCAAATGGCTACTACAGTTGTAAGCGTGTTCCAATATCATCAGAAATTATCCCATAGCATGGGCTACAATGTCAGAATGAGTAGATAGAAGTCACTCCAAACAGTATGTGCTATCACACTTTCTTTCCTTTCAAAACATTACTTCTTATCAATGAATCCAGATTTGCACAATTCTCATACAGTGAATTCACATGGGATTTCATGGCGACTATCCTCCTAGGCATCTTCACTGAACCATCTACAAACCATGACCACAACAAAATAAAGTGGTACTTCTGTTATGGTGTAGGGGTACCATTCATTTATCACAGTTTATTAGGCAAGGTAGTGTTTTCATGCAAGATCGGGCTCCTGATAATCCATCCAAGTCACAAAACAGTTGCTTAAAGGGCAGGGCATTACCACTGTTCCAAGGAAATGTCACTGCAGAATATGAACCATATCAAACATGTGTAGTCCATTCTTTATTGTTGCCTATGAAACATCACGAATAACAGGGGACAAAATAGTTTGGTGGATTTGATTAGCAATTAGCAAATAGTGCTTAGCATCATTTTAACATTCATCATTTCAACACATTATAGCAACAAAATCCAGCACTAAAAGTCTTAATTCTTTGTAAAGACATTCACTAATAAAAATAGGTAAATGGCATGTTTTTATTTAATAACACTTTTATTCACCTTCAAACCCTAATATTTAATTGTAGCATACATGCCATTTCATGAACAAAATAGTTCCTGGTTTACAAAGTAAAACTGCAAGAAATACCAAACACCTCAGCTATTACAAAACAATGCAACAATCAATTAACCAGAGAATAAAGTGACTTGAAGATGTTGCAACTGAACATGGTTGCCACAAATCGTTTTTCAAATTAATCTAATTTATTTCTCATTTTTTGTGTGTGAGACCTCATCACCCTCTTCACAACCTGGTCTCCTTGGCTTTTTGAAGAAGAAAGTGTCTAGTAACTCTTCATGGGAGTCCTTTACTGTGCACATCATAAGGTTTTTAGTGAGCTACATTCAAAATTTATTTAAACTACTTTTTGTTCATGTTATACCAATTAGTATAGCATAAAATCTTAACTAATAATCCATATTTTAATAGTATGTAAGATTTAAGTTCTTAATGCTATAAAGTAATATTTTAAAAAGTCCTGAATGTCTCATAGTGTTAGAAATGTGACATTTTCCTTTTAGGCATCCACTCTTCTCTAACTTATTTACCACCCCTCCAAGGAATGCGAAATTTAACGTAAATTACTCATTATAATATTGTTATCCCACAGGCAAAGCATAATTTTCATAGCCTTCAATTCTGTATTGTTATAGAGCCATCAAATAGAAAATAAGATCTCTCTTGCCACACCCACCTGTCACATCCTCTCTTTCAGGATTTGTCAATAATTCTCAATAATGTTTAATACTATATTATTTATAATCAATAGAAATCCGAGGATTTCATCTATCAAATGATGTATTGTATTATGTTGTTTTCTGTACATAAAATGTTAATTACTCTTTTAGTACAAGCTTCGTTCTTACAGGAAACACATTGACTAGCTTGGATGAATTTGTAACAGCTCTTGTCGTATAGTTAGAAAGCCAGAAAAATTGTGGTAGCTATAGGACATTGTCTGCTTTTTGCATGTTATTATTATATGTTCTTTGGTGCATTATTTTATTAAATAAAGTTATTTAGTGCACTACCACAATTAGCATAAAACACGTAGGGTTAAGTGTCATTGACAGTCGGCAGCAAAAAAAAAAAGAAGGCCCAGGTAAGTACTTTATTTCTTGTTTTTCATGTGTATTCTTTATTTATTATGGGAAACTTGTTAGTTTAGTTAAGGTTAGATTAGGTAAATAAATAATAATATAATAAAAAAAATTCACGAGGCACACACGCGAGCAGCTGGTGGGTAATGTAATTTGATAGTGTAACATAAATAGCTTCACTGTACCCCAAGTGACTTGCAACTTATAATGGCGCAAATAGTTAGACACGGTTCAAAGGGAAATAAATCACTAAAATTTAAGTATAAATAGATGTATACAGTTACGAGTTTAAAGTTACTTAGGATAAATAAATGTAGTCTAATCTTACTATCTGAAGTCATTGTAGAAAAGAGGTAATTTAGATTTATTTCTTTTTGTTGTTGTTGTTGTTTAGGAGGTCAGTCGAATTGGCCAACCTTCTATAGAGTTAGGGTAGAGAAAATAACAGATAAAATAGTAAAGTCCTACTGAAAAAATAAACGTTTGAAATGTATTTAGGAACTTTTAGAGATTACGCAAATGACATTTGAGATGAAGAAAAGTATTTTTAATTTTAACATGAAAATCACTTTGCACTCGGACTGGTCAAAAAAGACTTCATATATTCACAGACGCATCTTAGTAAAACCACTTTATTCAACATCTGATCTTTGTGTACAAACGACTTGTAATGTTTACTAAAAGTCTGCCACATTTTGTGAAGATACACATGCTGTAATAGAAGTTCCAGTTTAAAACTATATACAAGTAAAAAATGGTCACGTGGTCGGTCCAAAGAACCGAGACCGCATTGAGAGAGTTCGTAACTGGCTAAATGCAATGTATGCAATAGACGTACATAGTCTAGTCTAGTTGGCTAGGCTGCGGATCGGGCTTTTTTCCAACGTGATGAACAGACCACTACAAAATGTGTGTTTAACGCCTTATAAGCATGACAAAATGTGAAAATACTGTAGGTGCCGTTTGGGTGGAAATGTCTGGTAAATGGACATCAGCTTTGGCTTTTGTATGTCAAACAGAAACATTACCGCACTTTCACTGTATTTTGGGAGGTCTCGAAGACAACATACAAGAGAAAGGAATGATTCGCAATGCTAAGAAAAGAGGAAAGTGATTTTCAACTGGAGTTGTTTTGATTCGACAATTCCGATGCGAACCCGGATATTTTGTCCCCTGAATAACCAACTTCTAGGAACACTCTCATCCATGTTCCTTGTCGTAGATTTCAGGTTTAGTAACTTGGACATGAGATCACTTTTCTGCCTTAATTATTGCAAAGAGCAGATCCACCAGATACTAATGGTAATCTGTGATCATTTTTTTCTTATCTGTTTATTTAATAAACAGCTTTCTTTTTGGAATAGGTGTCTATTTAATTTTTTATTAGGCTGTGTATATATCATGTATCTCACCTCTGTGCAACCTAGATATAAATATTTGTGAGTGAATTATTATTATTGACTATAGAAAAAATCTTGGTTTTTTATGGTTAAAAAAGGAGGCAATCAAAGATTCAACAATCCCTTTTCAACTTACTGTTCTTGGAAGTTGCCCTGTGTTACTTTTAAATGTGATCAGGTTATTGTGAATTATCTTGTCAAACAACTACAGAAGCCGAGGGTAATTTTACATTTTTCCAGTCTTTCTTGATTGATTTTGTTTGTTTGTTTTTACCTTACTTTTGGTTTGTGCTACCTCTAAACTGATTACCTAAGTTACATTTTATATACCATGCTAACAGTTTTTTGGACAATAGCAGTTTTTTCTTGGTTTTCGAAGATAGAAATAGTAAAGGGCAACAATATATTTTGTTGAGAATATACAAAAATGTTCGTTTGTTTGTAGTTAAGCACAAAGCTACAGAATCCTATTCGGGTATCGAAACCTGGTTTCTAACGTTGAAAGTCCGCAGACATACCGCTGTGCCACTGGGGGGGGGGGGGGCTATACAAAAATGAGGAAAAGAGCTTATAAATTTGTATTGCATAATTAATTTTTAGTAGGTTGTGCATATATCAGGTATCAAATCTCCCTGCAATCTAGATATAAATGCCTCTGAGTGAATTATGAATATTAACTGTGGGAAAAATCTTCTAATTTTTTATTATGGCGGAAAGAAGGGGCAGTCAAATATTCAACAACCCCTTATAACTTCATTGTTTTTGTACATGATGATACCTTTACTGACAATACCACGGTCATGTAAATGAAATATTTGGGAAATGTACAATTGTCTTTGTTTCTCTCAATTCTGTAATTAATGTCTTAATTTAATAACACGTTTCATGGTAGGTGTGAAATGCAAACGATAATAACAAAATATAAAATGTCTATATAGTTATTCAATGAATCTCGGTCTTAACGGCTTAAACGGTAATAAAAAATAACTTCCCATACTATAAATAACCACATTAACTTACAATAAGGTCAGCAGACATCACTCCGGTAATCTTCAGCTGAAGAAATGGACTTTCAACACCAAGGCTCTCTGATAAGTCAAAACACTGGAGTATTTTCTGGGTGTTTTTGTCAAATGTGCTCTCCCTGGAAAATAAAGAAAGTTATGCTTTAAATTGTCATGTTTTATAACTTCTCTGTTCTTATAAGTTGTTTATATGAGTTAATTTATAGATATCGGCAATATGATAAAATATTAAAAGCAATAAACCATTTTTGTTTCTTTAAATACCAAGTTTGGACTCTCAATATATTTAGTGCATTTGAAACAGCTTAATCAGGCAATCAGTGTATACAATTTAGGTAGACAACAATAAGAAATAAATGTGCATTGTTTAATAACCTACGTTTGAGCATTCAATCATATATTGCTTACAAGTAATGTTTATCTATTATCCGTGTTAAAAACGGTCAATTAACTATATTTGGAACAACTGTATGTAAATGACTATTTACTTGTTTGTATAATATAAAATATAGAAGAATTCAGATAGCACAGTGCACACCGGGGTGTAAACTATAACACAACATACACACGGCTGGGGGGGGGGGGGACATAAACGTCTTATATATCTCAGAAAGTGCGCTATCACTCAATAATATATAAACTCAGCTGAAGTTTCTACTCCAACAGCCACAATATGGCTGATATGAAGAGGCATTTCTTGGGTTATACTCACTTCCTACTTTCACCCGTGACCTTTTAACTTCGGCCTGTAAGACACTTCTGCGGCCAATAACTGTCAAATAATTAATCACATGAAACACTGTAGAAGGACATTAAGAGCTGGGTGTTGAAATCGGGTAACAGAAAGTACACCTACAGTTACTATTTGGCCTCTACCTCTTCCTTCAAAGTCACCCTGACCATCGCACAGTGTATACCATGTTTTAAGTATATACATAGTGAGTTCTTTAAGCTTATACACAACTTTTGGTGGGGTAATAATGAAAACTGTAATAATCTGTTATGTTATAAGTAAATTATGTGAAAGTTGGAATTTTTGTGTTGATTAAGATGTTTATGTAAATATATGGTGGCATTTCTGGCACTTGCGGTATCTTTGACAGCGAAATGGTGGTTGATGTAGACACAACTGGCTCCCAAGGCTCAAAAGCTAGTCCACTGGTGTCATCAGAAAGAGCAAGGATATTAGATAACTCGGCCAAAAGAAGGTCTTTATACAATGACTAAATGTCAGCAATCGTTAAGTTCACTCCTGGATCTTGGGTACTTCAGGTATACCTCGAGGTGACCGAGTAAAGTGTATGAAGAAAACAGCATTTTATTTGTAACAACAAATGAATAGCTACTATTTCTGGATAGTTGAAGAAATAAGATAGCCTGTAATGCTAATAATTTGACATTTACAGATTATAAAGTTACAGTTTTGAATGATGTTTAGGTGTAAGCATGTGTTTCCAGTTTAAAAATTATTGCTAGAGAAAATTAACTGTTCGCTTCTACATATGTAAACTTCCCCATCACATGACTATATAATTAGTAAGTCAGCGCAATTTGTCGAAGGCCAGAATGTTGACTGAAATATTAATGTATGAACCTGTTTCAAGGCCTTCAAGTTTAAGCGGCTATCGAAGGTCTCAAACAGTTATTGAATTTTTGTTCTTCATTTCCAGATCTTGTGTGCTCTGGTACTAATGCAATAATGCCATTTTTTAAAGAAAGTCAGTATATTCAATATCATTTTCAGCTTATTCCTTTTCACGCTCCCGATTTGTTTGTTTTTTTAAGCACATAGTTACGTACTAAGCTACCTGTGCTCCACCAACCGTGGCTATCAAAACGATGAATTAACGTTAACAGTTATTAATTTGAAAGAAAATATGTTTAATTTCATATTATTTTGTAATAAGCTGAACAAGTTATAATGAATTTAAATGTCATTATTTTATACAAATTGTACTAAAATAGCAAATCAATACCATGATTAGATTAAAAAGAATGCAACTAGCTACTGAATTATAGGTGCTGAAAGTTAAACGTAGTTATATGTTTTTTGGGCACCGTACATTTCTTGTCCATGATGTACTGCTAATAGATCATAAAAAGTAAGATATTATTACGACAGCGGAAGTCGCGTGACCCTGGGAGCATGCGCGTTGGAGTTTCTGGAAAGATCATGAATTATTGGGGAGGCCCGAGTTTGTTCGAAGCGCCCTCTTTTTTAGTATATAAGCATAGCAATAAAAACCAGCGCGATTGCATAGATAGATAGATATGCAAATAGATCGAAGATATAGATAATTGAGTCAAGCGAACAGTAAGCACCGTAAGTAAAGTGTGTGAATCACTGTGATTTATAGCGTGTGTTATAAAAGAAGTTAAGTTTAAAGTACTGATTGGAAATTCTGTGTATTACAAAGTTGTATCCAGGGAAAAATAAACTGGTTTAATTAAGAAAGGACTTGTATCGCTGAAGTTCCTGGTAAAGAATTTATACCGGAAATTAACAAACGAGCAAATGCGTAACAATATGTTCAAAACGTATGACCTAGTGAAGGGTTCAAAAATATATTAACTTAAGAATAATACATTTTTAATGTTGTTGATTTTTTGGGGGGTCAAATATGTATATATGTGGATTTGATTACTTGTTTTCAATAAAAAGTTTATCCGTTTTGTTTATTTTATTCTGTATAGTGATAAATTATAAATAAATAATAACGCTTTGGTAATCTTTAATGTGTGTATCATAAATTATTTCTCTAGTATATCCGGTATTTGAATCATTAATATTTACAAAGTATTGGCTCAAGAATTATAGGAAATTTCAGTTTTAAGATATGAATGTAAAGTTGCATTTTTATACTAACAAATTCATTTTCTTACATACGAAAGCTATATCATTTTTATAATACTAATCCCAATTTTGTGTGTTAACCCATCCGTTTTGTAAAACATTATAAATTTCTGAATATTTCTCATATTTTACTATGTATAATAAGCCTTCACATTTACGCAACAATTGTTTTTCAGTTTTAGTACCATCTGTCGTACAAAACCCCTCGTGGCTCAGCGGTAAGTATGAGGACTTGTAAAGCTAAAAATTTAGTTTCGATACATGCGGTGGGAAGAGCATTGTTAGCCTATTGTGAAGCTTTGTGCTTAACAACAAAAGTACAAACTGTTGTACAGAAATAGAAAATAACTTTACTCTTCTTGTATTATTGATCACAGATTGGCAGATAGTGCAAATTTGGTATAAGACCTGGTTAATTTCTATATACATGTTAATGACTGTTTTAACACTATTCGTCCATCTTTGTCTTTTAATTTATATCTTCCTGTTTTCAAATATTGAATAATCTTTGTCTTCTTCCTTTTCTGTGAGCAGATTTTATTAGGTAAATATGTTGTAATTTCATCATTATTTGCTCACACTAGAAGACGCAGCCAGAGTTAAATGTTTTATAACATAAGGCCATAGACGAGGCACATTATAAACACTTCTCTATACCATTAGAGTTTAGCCTAACTTTATGAATTACTTAAGCAAACGTATGAATACTTTCCAAACTTTTTTGTTTATTCGTAATATAGTTCACTAAATATAACTGTTACTTTTGGCAGTTTTGCAAGTAAGAATCGCATTGTGGGTCGTGTATAGTGAAGACTGTACTACAAAGTAGGAATAGTATGATGATTATTGAAATAATGAAAGGTACTAAGAACATTGACGATATTAAACTTACTGCATAAAAAACATGTAATTCTCTTTTTACAGCATACAGCCACACACACCTTGTTTCTTCTCCAACATCAGTCTCTATTGTGACGCCGAGAAAAGGACGCAGATTGGCGGATTTCAGTCGGTTAACACAGTTTCGAAACTCCTCGGGATTCTCTCCAGCAACAAACTGATTATAGAGTGTTGGCTTGACAAAGGCTTTCAATAGAATTGGTCCACTCATTTTCTGCATGGTATTCATGATCTAAAAATATCAAATAAAATACATTCATTAAACATCTTAAGTCATGGCACGTTCTTGAAAAATATAGAAAAATGCCTCACATAAATCTAAAAAACAAATAGCTCTATATCCAGTTAATGAGTAATGACACCCGGAAATGAAAACAAGTTTGAGAATATACACATGTAACTGGAATTTTTTAACAACTTTACATATATTATAGGATTTTATTTCACTAAACTCGAGAATATTTTTTGTATTCAATCTTACTTTAAAAGAAGTATTCGCAAAAAAATAATTCAAAACGATTTTACTATTTTCAAACAAATCTCAAGAGGAAATATGTGATCTATAGTAACTATTTTTTAAAGTTTTCCTGTTCACAAACCTGCAAACTGTTATTCACTAATTTCTGAAATCCACATAATCTCAAGACACATAAAGCACGAATTATCTCCCGCGTTGATTTATTTTGGAATGCAACGGCGTGGTTGCTGAAATCTGGCAGCAGTATCGTTTTTGTAGAGCTACCAAGAGGGCTACCATTTGCTGTATGTTTTGGTAAAGAAGTATTTTCTGTGTATTGAGATCGGACAAATCTCGAGTATTGTCTACTTGTGATCTGAGCTTCGAACTGTGAGAAAATAGATGTCACTGTAGGCGTTGATTGTTGATATCTTAAGGATTGTTGAATCCAAAAAATACTGGTAGCCTGTTTTCGAGCGAACACTTTTAACAAATAGTTGAAATACAAAGCCCGCATATTCATAGATTCTATACCTGATCTTATCACAGCCTATAAAAACTATTTAAAATGTGATATACAAATTAAAATATATATCTGTTATAAAGTAGATAAGGCTACTACATTGCTTGTTAAACGTTAAATTTGTTCAGTTATTAACAAGTCGTCAATTTCGGAAGTAAAGTGTTATGTATCTGACGACGTATACTTGCACCTGATTATTTTAGAAGGTTTCTGCCGTTGTTTAACTGGTTCAATCCGGTTCTGCTGAGAAATGGTGTGGCTTTGCTTTATCCAATCGAATTTGATGTTAAAACTACTAGTGACAGCATTCCTCAGTTCACACTAGAAATAAATGAAAGATGAAAGATAAATAGTTTAGTACGCAACGCTTTTACGTGTAAACTGTATGAAAAAAAGGTAGGTATGTCTTATATATTTTAGTGAATTGACATTAACTCTAAATACTGAGCAAAACGTTAATTTTTCGTTGTTTATAAACAAATCATTGCGGTAAATTAAAATTTCTACATTAGCTTGATATAATAAGAACTCGAAAGGGAAGTATTTATTAATCAAATTAGGTACATGAATTACCTTTTCATCGCCAAAAAAGTAACCGATTTTGAGATCAAAGGTCATTGATTACTCATGATAGCTGGACGTAAGACACTGATTAGAATCTGAACTAGTTTTATCAAGTTAAATAATAAATCAGCATCAGATATATTAAAAAGGTAATTACCAGAATAGTTTTAGGTACTTAAATATTGTGATAAATATCAAAAAGCCTAAATTCATATCAAAATTAGCCTTGAAAATTTAATATACTTTGGGCAGTATGAGAAGTTTACAATGTGCACGTATCTTACCTGTGAGATAATTTGTGTTATTACAGAAAAAGCAAATGATACGTTCGGATTCTAGATATAAAAATTAAATAACTTATGTAAAAAAAAGTGGTTGCATCTTTCCACTTTATTCGGTTATTTGTTAAAGTTGGAATAAGAATAGATATTGAATAGAGTGAATGATATTTTGTCAATAGGAAGAGTTTGTTTGTTTGAATTTATGCACAAAGCTACACAATGGGCTATCTGTGCTCTGCTCACCACGGGTATCGAAAACCGGTTTCTAGCGTTGTAAGTCCACAGACATACCACTGTGCTACTGGGAACAATAAGAAGAGAAAAAAAAAATGTTTGTGCCGCTCAATTGGCAGGGTTTCAAATGGTATTTAAAGAAATAACCTTGATTATATGGTGTAAAACACGTATTAACATTTCATACAGTAAGTGTCTTTTTTTGGCTTTCTATGTCAATTACTACAGATTCTCTAAATTCATGAATTAGTTACAGTGAGAATGAAGATGTATATGTTCGAGATATTCTCAGATTCACTGATTTACCTTCGAGTAAACGAGTAGGAGGCGCAGAATAATAGGGGGCTCGCCATAAAATGTGCTTATATTTTAGCACAAAGCTAAATAATTGGCTATCTACGTTCTATCACCACGGGGAATCGAACCCCGGATTTCGGATCTCTAAGCCGTAAGCTTACTGCTTACGCACTGGGAGACAACCAGAAAATGTTTCGTGCAGCAAAATCTAAGTTCTCTTAAACTCGACCAAGTTTGAAGTGAAAGAAATGAGATTGGGCACAATGTATAAATTACTGAAACAATCTTATTCACACAGAAACACAATCAAAGTTAAAGGCAAGCAAATCAATATCCGTAATTAAAGAGGTCAACATTCGCCGGCGAAGGCAACATTTGTCCACCACGCAATCAAAAAATGCCCAATTTTGACACCAGAGAATACAGAAATATCGAAAACTATTTTATCATTGCTTGGAACCTGCAATAAGGTATTGTACCAAATTCCATGCAACTTGGTTGGCAGACACATGAATAGTTAACGAAGACACCAAATTGTATTTTCCTCGCTGACAAATTAAACAAAAGACAAAATTACAAAATTGTCTATATAACTGTTTGGGACCTACAAAGAGTATCTTTATATCAAATTCAATGTAGATTGGTCGAAACAAGGCTAAGTAACTAATCAAAATCCCTAAAATTGTGAGTATATTTAACCTTTTGACACCCATAAAATGACCAAAAATGAACATATCCCAAATTTTTCGTATTTATATGTATGAGACCTGTAAAAAATATCTTCTTGCCAAATCCCATGTAACTTGGTTGAAATACGGCGGAGTAGTTGTATAAAAAAACAACAAATAAAGCTAAAATGACGTTTTTTGTGGCATGTTGACCCCCTTAATTACTAAAAATGAACAAGTCCATCATTTTTGCTTGTTAATGTGTGGAACCTGTAGGAAAGTATATTCGTGCCAAATCCCATGTAAGTTATGCAAATTGGTCAAAATATGGCCGATTACTTGAACAAAAAACCCAAAATTATGCTTTCTTGTGAGCTCTGATCCCCTAAAAAAGACTCAAAATGAACAAATCCAACATTTTTTGTATGTTGGGCGCATGAAAATTTATATTTGTGCCCACTTACTTCTTAATTACTGTAAATATGACCGCACAGGAGTCCAAAATATATTCATTTTTGGGTTGTTTGTCCTTTCACCCCATAAAATCTTTAAAAAGGCTTAAATAAAAAAATGTGTCTGGGCGTATTGGACAAGTGTATAACCCAATAAAGTTTTGAGTTAATCCACCGAGAAATGAAGGAATTGTGATCGATTAAAAAGTGTTTGGATGAAGAAGGAACAAGAGAAAAATAATATGTTTCTCTGCGGAAACATAATCTTACTATAATGAACGTAGGGTGTATTTCAGTATCTAAAACGTTTGCGCCATCTATTGAATACCACCATAAATAAAAATCCACTTATATAAAAATATATAAAAACATTATTATTTATATCAGTATAGTTATGAAAATTTTAAACTCTGTATCTTGAATCATTTTGATGCAATGAGTTGCGTATGACTAAACAGCACAATCCGAACACCTGCAGTATTTCCCAGAAAAATATATCTTTTTAGAGAATGTTCACTTTTTGTAATTTTTTTTCAAGTGAATACTCGATCAGTAATTACTAGCACAAACAGCCGCATCTAGTGCAGCATTTCTGCTAGTGATCTCAAATCATCTTGTTTCAAACTACTAAAACATGGCATTACATCCTTTAAACAACATTCTTCTCAATGTGCAAGCCCTATCAACCTGCCTATCAGTCACCCTCACTTCAAAACAAGGGATGTCACACCTCAGGGGCATTACTTCACTTGCCATTGGAAAAGATCACTTTCTATTTCAATATAATATGTTCTACATTACAGAAATCTTTCCTACGAGAATGTATATGTAACACCCTAATTGACTTACACAATTCTGTGAATTACTAGAGCAACTTGACCAACATTCTGTATTATGGCTACAAACAACATGTTGGGAAATCTTTGAAAAAATATATATTAACTAAGATGGTAGGAAACGTGTGGTAAGTTTGCATACAACACATATTTACCTAAAACCTAGTTTGTGCATATTGATCATTTTAATCATTACCATAAGTTTTTGTCGTAATTTGGTGTCATATATCCTAGTTTTGAGCTTTTGCCTTGATTGTTTAAGAATAAACACTAATTATTTGTAGGAGGCCTGTGTTGTCTTTAACGTGGGATATATCTCTTTGACTGAGAGGGGTCCCATTTTCATTTATGTATCTTGATTTTATTTTCAGAATCTTGTATTGGACCTAATATAAACAAGATAAAGTAAATGTAGATTTTATTTAGCCTCTACAAACCACGTCCAGGTTTAAAGATAGATCTTAGCACTATTTTTTATTTTTTTTAGATTATTATATAATCTATATTTCTGTAGAAATTCTGTGTATTACAAAGTTGTATCAAGAAAGAATAAACTAGTTTTAATTAGGAAATGACTTGTATCGCTGAAGTTCCTCCGGAAGAATTTATACCGGAAATTAACAAAGGAGCAGATACATAACAGTTTTTCAGAATAAAAGCACTGTGAGTGCACTGCACGCAAACATGTGCATTCTGAAGGTCTCTTACTTTTGAACGTTTTGGAAACTAAATATTTTTTGATGTTATACGTTTGGAATAACTTCTCTTTCATAGGCCTCAGACAGCTATGGGTAAAGGCGGGCATAGGTGATAAAACACAATACATAGTGATGCATATTCTCGCTGACAGGATTGGCAACAATATTTGTAAAGTTTTTCTCACAATTCACATCTTAACAGGTTGTGAATAATATAGTGTATTCTGTTACATGGGTTTACAACACAGCAAAAGAAGAGTCCACTACCTGGAGCTCCAATGGATATCAAGTAACCGAGTATGGGTCTGTTACTTGACTTCCTTTAGATACAAGCGAAGGACAGAGTAGAACAGCAACATCTCGTCAAGAAAGTGTTAATTATGCATCCAGCAATACATGCACAACTTATATTTTCATGAATTATAACGGGATCTTATACTAGAATAATGTTAAGGAAATATATAGAAGATCGTGTACTTTTGGAATAGTTAAGTCTGCTGATCAAACACAACCAAGCAAATCACCGAGTACACTAAGTTTACAATTGTTTGTGAATCTTACTTTTCACAGGTAATTCCACTATACTAGCTCATATTTCAATTCAAATTAAATGAAATGTTTCTTTCAACACTTGAGGAATAGAGTTCAAACTGTGTTTCCTGCACGTGTGGCATTTCTTTTATCTCTTTCCATGGCATTCACTAACTTCAGTGTCAAGATTGAAACATTCTCGTACTGACATTAAAGAAAACTTCATCAAATTCTTGTTCAAATTCTGCCTGCTAGTTGTATTCTCAGTAACTGATTTATTTTGTGTTGTATAAAACTTATGAATAGCTTTGTGTAAAGTTTTATTAATGTGTCCAAATCATCACATATCTATACAAACGTCTATTTGTCATAAGTGTTTCCAGCTTCCACACTAGCGGGTTCCAACAGACTATCTCATAATGATTCTGTATAATATTTTTGATTCTATGAGAATAATATCCTATGAGGATTAATTTATTTGGAGAGTTTAAGCCTGTTCAAGTGTCTTATACACGTGACCAAGGATGAGCATGTAAATCAGTGCTTTACCATCATAGCAAAAAGGAAGACTTCAATCAGTTGCTCCTCACAAATCATACAACTTGGAGCATAGATATGATGGTAACATCACTGGAGCAAGAACTGTAACTCGTTAAACTGCGAATTTCAAGAGATTTACGACCCATTAATTCCAAAATAATCTGTCAGTGTTATGCCTGAAGACTATGCAATGTGATATATAAATACGCCATGCATTTAT